CATTACCTCAGATTTCTAGTGTTGTACCCCAAAATTTGCCCTCTTATTTTACTCAACATATGTTCATTGAAATCCTCAACTTGCTCAAGGATGCCCAATGATTGATCAGACAAGTGCTCCCTTAAGACAATAAGCCTCAAACTAGGGTTTCTATTTTCATCAAGATTTTTGAGTTCCAAGGGGTCCCAAATTATTTCCATTATCCTAATATGTTCTTAATATCATCCATATCAAGTTTCATGCCTTGCACAAGAAGTTTGCTCAATCAACTGCTCAGATGCCTGGAAATCAACTGTACTAAGTCAAAAGTCAACTGTGACCCACATACAGTTAAAATTCAAGATTTTTGGTCAACATAAACATTTTAAAGTAATATCCATCATTTGCTCAAGCGTTGATCATGATTCCTCAAGGAATGCCCCAAATTCATCAAAACTCAAAAGTTACTAAATTAGGGTTTCTATAGGAAAAGTCAACCAAACTTTGACCAGGCATAATTTTCTCATACTTTATCAGAAATTTCCTATCCAAGGCTCATTTTAAATAGAATTCAATTCCCTACAACTCATCTTTAGCCCTCAAGTTCAAAAAATGCATTCATGAAAATATATGAATTCAGACATTACAGGTCATTTCAAAAAGCCAACAAAACACCTTTTGGATAAAAGATTCTTACATGAACATGGAAGATCCAATTAAAATGAGACATAAAGAGTTGTTTAGGGTACATCTCAAGCTTTCTAAAAAGTCCAAGAACCCCCTCTTAGGGTCAAAATTAAGGGAGATATGCATTCTCAAAGTTGGCTATTTTTGGAAATTTGCCCAAAGTCAACAATGCTCAAAACTACATTTTTTTCTCAAATGGGCTTAACTTTTTGTGCTTGCAACACACTCCTAGCCTGGTCCACAACCTCCAAGTTAACCCATGCATTGTTATATTATTTATATTATTTATTTTGACATTTTATCCATTAAAATGCAAAATTAAATAAATAAATAGTAGAAATAATAAAAGATTTGGATTTGGAATCTTTTCTCATCAAACAAGGGACACATATTGCTGGCATATCAAAGCAAATCTCGTGGAGAAAGAGCAAAATTTGATTTTATCCAAATATGCAAGAAATCGTATTATTAAAAGAAATTATTTTCTCAATGAAAGCAAAGATTTCTTCCAATTTTGTTAACCTAAATATGATTCACTATATAGGCATGGCTATTCAGAAGCACAAGAGGACAAAGACACAACCCTAGGCGCTCATACCAAAATTGCAAAAATCATTTAAAATCGTGAAAATCTAAAGAGCAGGCTCTAGCCTCTTTCAGTCCAACCTAAGCCTTCAATCCACGCCTAGAGATTCTTAGGAGTCCATCCTTGTCCAGAATCAGGCTTGCAGTACCCTCAAACGCCCAGATCAAGAGTCACCGGATTGGTAAATTTCTCAAGTTTCAAACTCTTATTTCATGACATGTAAATGAGATCTTGGCATTAGCATATGTTCCTAATGTTGTTTTAAGATATTTGGAGTCATTAGTTGCAAGCGTGCACGCAAAAACAATGAGACGCCATTGCTAGGGCACGGAGGTTTTGTTTTTTCGTATTTGTATTTGCAAGTATTTTTAGGACAAATGGAGGCCACCATCGTGATTGCAACCCTCAAAATAGGGGGATAGGATACCTTTTCATTTTTATTTCATGTATTTTGCAGGTTCGAATTTGAATACCATCGGAGAAGATGACCGGGCTCCGGCGCCAGTGGGGGTAAGACCGGTTGACTCACTGCGTGGCAAAAAGGCAATGTTTCATTGGCTGGCCTCAACTGGTCCCCTCTCTCTCTCTCTCTACGTTTGATTGGCTTATTTGAATTACAAAGGTCCCACTTCCTGGCGCGCGCTTGACAACTCAGCATTAGCGTTGTTTTCATATTATATAATTTTGTTTTATTTATATGTACGAATGAACAATCAGCGCAAATGGAAAAGGCATTGACATGTGAAACCAAAGACTTGGGTTCGACCCCAGGCGTGCACATTTTGCTATTTTCTTAATTTTCTATGCAGGATTCAGTGCGCTTCATATTCGGATGTCAACCATGCGCCTCCAAATCCGACCATTGGATCATCCTTAGATCCAGATCTAGCGCTCAGTGAGAGTAGCGCATGGTGCACCCTCAGGCGTGGCAACACTGGATCCAATAATTGACTGGGCTTGTGCTTCTTGGGCCCAACGAATATCAGTAATTCACCCCCTGTTTACTAACAGCATCAGGCCCAATTTCTCTCTTTTTTTAATTACTTTTTTTGTTTTATTTATTTATTTAATCATTTTACAACAAAAATCTTTTTTTATCAAACAAAAAAAATCATAAAAATATAAAATAAAAAAAAATATAGAATTAGGTTTTTTTAAAATTAATTTTATTCAAAATAAAATAGTTTAATTAGATTAACTTGATTGATTTTTCTATTATTTAAAATTAATTATAGAATTAGGTTTAATTTCCAATTAAATTATTTTCTCAATAAAAAATACACAAAAATATTCTTTTTAACTAATTAGATTTTTTAGGCTTCTAATTTGTTCTCGTATTTAATTCGTCGCGCGCCTTTACTTTCTTTTAAATTTAAATTATTGTAACTGTTTCAAGTTTTTAATAGATTAATTAGGATTTTAATTTCCGCATCTTTATTTTTAGTCAAATATTTGTGTATCTGCCCAAAAGCCTTGTAATAGTTAGGACTTTAATTTCTCGCACTCTTTAATTTCCGCAATTATTAAACTGCTAGATGCATGGAGATTAGGATTGTATGCGAAAGATAAACCAACGATTAAAAGGTAGATAACCCTAATTGTACAAAGATAATTAACTGGAAAAAAAGCACACTTGCACATGCTCACTCCTAGGGTTTTCCCCACTCCGATTGCCTTCGGTAAACGGTCATAAAGCATAGGGAATTTTAGTGGTCCCTCTAGTCCAAAAAGATAAAAAATGACCCATTCGGATGTTGCCTCGGAAAGACCTTTAGGACTTTAGGGTCATTACTAAAGTTTCCTAACCATTGCTTTTGTGACCGTACTTGTCCCTTCGAATGTCCCTTAAAACTCCAACGATAGGGCTACCTACTCCTTAATAGTAGGATAATGTTGTCTAAAGGAAACAAGAACGAACAATCTTTTTTCGAGTTGGTAGAAAATCTTAAGTACTTGCTCAAATAAACTCTTTTACCCAAACACTTTCAAAACAGTTTTAAAAAAAAATATTTCGTCACACTCTTGAGGACAGATACAAGAGTTATCACGAAGTTAAACAAAACTTTTTGCAAAACATACACAAGCAATTTCAAAATGAGCAAGTACCTAAGAGCCCCTGGAAAACCACATATAGAAAGAGTGCTAACACATTCCCTTTTTATAATCTACCCCCCGTACTCAGAAACTCTCGAAAAAAGGTTTTTTTCTGCTCTTTTCCCTTTCCTTTGTTGGATGAAATAAAAGTCAGCGGCGACTCTTGCTTACTGTGATATTTGCGAATACAAAATGCAAACCAGTATTAACAGTCGATTCTGCCACCGTATCACACCTAGCATCAATTCCCTCTCTTCGCGTTCTACCGAAAAATCTCATTGCCTCTCTGTGCTCTAATTCTCTTTCTCCATAGTGTTTGTTCTTTCCACGATCGTTCTAAAAGAAATATTTTCTCTATTTCTTGTTTTAATCTCTAGACCCCTAATAATGGACTTTCCATCATGCTGTCACTTACTCTTCTCAAATAATTCTAAATAATTCTAGCACTTCACTAATATTACTCTATTTTATTAATTAAAATAATTCTAAATAATTATTCCAATTATTAAAATACTCATAATTCCTCTTAATTCCTAATAATCTTCATGACATACATGAACATCACATAACCATCATGTTAAACATTATATTCATCTCAATTCATCATGACATACCTCATGCTCATCAAAACATCAAAGGACCTCACAATTATTCATATAAAACACAAAAACGTCACATATATTAAATACTTCACAATAACTCATATATTTATATTAAATTAATTAAATAAATAATTAATCTAAAATTTGAAATATTACAGAGATCACATATAATTTCAAGATATTCAATTTCGAAACTATTGAGTATGCGAATAAGATATATGATTTTCTATTCATAGTTAAGTAGTTAGTCGACAAAGATTTAAGGACTAAAGATATACTTTAGCTTTAATTAAATGATATGAAATTGACCTCCGAATTAATTAGTTCTAGAGTTAGGTATCAAATTTAAAAAGAAAATCAAATTCTATAAATAGTTTAGAATTACCATTGAAGCTCTGCCCATCGGTTGCTCAACTTACTAAGGAGCGTGCATTTACATCTCCAATTTCTTATTTATTTATTTATTTATTTTAAATTGAAGTTGTTGAAAAAATAATTGTGCGACATTATTAAACCTCTTTGTATCCTTTATGAACCTCACATGGACGTACATACTTTGAAGTTTGGAGCAATTACCAACTATTGCATCTCTCTTCTGTCAACAAAATTTCAAAATAATAGTTTTGTCGGTGCTCTTTTGACAATTAAATTAACCAATTAATGATTAGTATACCATACGTTAGACAAATTAGACATAATCATAGGAGACACAGTACTTAGTATAGCTGGAAACCAACATCTAACAACCCAAAACGCGTTAATTCCACCGATCACTAATCATCCATTAAAACACAATAAATAAATAAACCTCAGATAATAATATTAACAATAATAATAATAATTCTTTCACGCTTATTTCATTTACGTATTTATACTAAAGCTTCAAAGCTAAGTCGGTATCAGTGTTGAACTGTGTCACTCTCTCAAACACAACATAGATCTGGTACAAATCTAGCTCCTTCTATATATAGAAACTTAACAGCAATGTCTCATTTTTAGTTTCTAACATTCTAATAATAGTGTATGTCTCTTTTCATTTTTCAGTCATAACTATGGGAATCAAAAGCAGAAGCACTAGTTTGCTATCTCTACTATGCATTGTTGTTGCATTAGTAACTGTGTCTTTGGTACAAGCAGAAGATGATTATAAATTCTTCACATGGACCGTGACTTATGGAACCCTTTCTCCTCTTGGTACTCCCCAACAAGTGAGTAACGAAAATGCTTTTTACTGGATCTAGTATCTTTTAAAGAAAATATTCAGATTCCAACTTTTTTTTTGTGATTACTTTTTGTAGGTTATTCTGATTAATGGTCAGTTTCCTGGTCCTAGACTTGATTTGGTAACTAATAACAATGTGATTCTCAACCTTGTCAATAAGCTAGATGAGCCATTTTTACTCACATGGTGAGGTTTTATGTATGTTTTTCTGTCCATTTCTGTATAATCTTGATTATATATAAGTCTAATGTTATTTCTGTATAATTTTGATTACAATGTTGAGAATAAACTAGGAATGGGATTAAGCAAAGGAAAAATTCATGGCAAGATGGAGTTGTAGGAACCAACTGTCCTATTCCTCCAAACTCAAACTATACATACAAGTTTCAAACCAAGGATCAGATTGGAACTTATACCTATTTTCCATCAACTAAAATGCATAAAGCTGCTGGAGGGTTTGGAGGACTCAATGTTTATCGTAGATCTGTTATCCCGATTCCTTATCCAAATCCTGATGGAGATTTTACTCTACTCATTGGTGATTGGTACAAAACCAACCACAAGGTGTTGAGCCAATCTTTAGATTCTGGAAAATCTATTGGTTTTCCTGATGGGCTGCTTATCAATGGTCAAGTTCATTCTAGCTTCACTGGTGACCAAGGTAAATTTTGTGTCCTTAACTATCCTTAAAGATCTAACAGATGCATTTCAAATTCAACTTTGTAAGTGTTTGTTTTGCACTTTGTTTTTCAGGAAAAACCTATATGTTTAGGATCTCGAATGTGGGTTTGTCAACCTCAATTAACTTTAGAATTCAGGGTCATATGCTAAAACTAGTTGAAGTTGAAGGATCACATGTGATCCAAAACGTATACGATTCACTTGATGTTCATGTTGGACAATCTATTTCTGTGTTAGTAACGTTAAATCAACCTCCAAAGGACTATTACGTTGTCGCTTCAACAAGATTTACTCAAACAGTTCTCACCACAATTTCTGTGCTGCATTATGCAAATTCTCATTCCTCAGCATCAGGAACATTGCCTCCGCCCCCTGCTAACGGTTATGACTTGTCTATGAAGCAAGCTAGAACTTACAGATGGAATCTGACAGCTAATGCTGCTAGGCCTAATCCACAAGGTTCATTCCATTATGGAACGATAACTCCAAATAGATTAATAAATTTGGCCAATTCAGCACCATTGATCAATGGAAAGCTTCGTTATGCAGTTAACAGTGTCTCCTATGTTAACCCTGATACCCCTCTTAAACTTGCTGATTACTTCAACATTCCTGGAATCATTGATAACTCAATTCAAATCACTCCCTCTAATGTTCCTGCACATATAGCTACATCCGTGTTGCGAACTTCTCTCCATGATTTTATCGAAGTTGTTTTCCAAAACAATGAAAAAACCATGCAATCTTGGCATCTTGATGGTTATGATTTTTGGGTTGTTGGGTATGTATGTTAGACCTCATTGATTTGAGTTTTGTTTTGATGATGTTGAAACAATATAGAATTTGCCTAATGGTGTTTTTTGATACAATTGATTGCAGTTATGGTTTTGGCCAATGGACAAGTGCTAGTAAAAGTACCTATAATCTAGTGGATGCCTTGACTAGACACACTGCTCAGGTAATACAAATTCTCATAGTGTCATCGAGTCTGTCTTGTGTGCTGTACTCGTGTCTGTGTCCGTGTGTCTGTGCTTCGTAGGTCTTAAATGTATGATGTGCTTACTTGTGAATGTAGGTATATCCGAACTCTTGGACAGCTATATTGGTGTCATTGGATAACCAAGGAATGTGGAATTTGAGATCAGCCATATGGGAAAGACAATATCTTGGACAACAGTTGTATCTAAGGGTGTGGAATGCACAACGCACTGCAGCCAATGAATATGATATTCCTAGTAATGCTTTGCTTTGTGGCAAAGCATTGGGACATCATTCTTAGAGAGAGTATACATTTTCAACCATTTATTAGTGTTTTACTCCAGTCATGAGAGCTTGACTATAATTAGATTTTTTTATTAAGAGGAATATATAGTATTAGAGGAAGAGGTTAATTTCTCAAATTTTTTAAAGTCTTCAAGTATATTTGAAAATATCTTGTATTTGAATCTTCTTTGCCAATTAATATTTTTTTTAACGAATTTAGTTCTTTTGCTCAACTCACCTTTAATACATTTCAAATAATGGTTAGCTTCTTAGGACAAGCAACTCAGAACAAAAAACAAAGAAATCCAACATATGTATTTGTAATCAACACCGATACTATATTAATTGATTACTACATATGTATTTGTAATCGACACCAATACTATATTAACGGATTACTAATGCTTACTGATTACTAAAGACAAGACATCTAATTATTTTTTCTATTTCATATAATTTTCATATTAGAATAAAATAAAATTTATTAAAATTTTAAATAAATATAATTTTTTTATTAAAACTTCAAGAAAACATCGAATTTTAAAATTTCAAATATTTACATTGAATCATTTATAAGAATAATATGAATAAACATAATTATTTTAGTTTAATGCTTAAAAAAATGATAAATTATGATTTAGTCAAAATTTATTTTCTATAGATGATCAACATCATAAAAAAAATATCAATGACAGTAAAAATCTTAAAATGGCAAATAAAAAATATATATTAGTAATTAAAATTCTTATAAGCCATTAAAACATATAATTTTTTTGATAATAACAATTCAAAATCCTCATACTACACAAATATTTTACAATAATAATTATTTTAATAACCATCAAAATTCAATTTTAAATTTCATTAAATTAACAAAATAAAAAATATATAATAATGTAATAGTTTTTTATATAGTTGTTCATATTATCGTACAATTTTAATATAATTTAATTTATACAATATAAGTTATATATTTACCAATTATATGGTGATCATACAAATTAAGTTGATTATTGCATTTTATAATATGGTGGAAGAATTGACTCGGTTGTTTTGCGTTTTATCGTAATTGTTGCAGATAGCAAGAGTCGCCACCGACTTTTCTTTTATCCAATAAAAGAAAGGGTGAAAAGAAAATGAAAGACCTTTGAGATATTTTCTTGAGCTCGGGGGGTAGGTTATAAAAAGGGAAGGTGTTAGCACCCTTTTCATCCATAGTTGTCTATGAACTCTTAGTTGCTTGCTAGCTCACTTGAAAATTGTTTTGTTTGAAATGCATTTGTGGTGGATTTTGAAAGTATTTTTTTGAAAAGCGCATTCGTTTAAGCAAACTTTGTAATAATTTTCGTCTCTATAAGAATGCATACAAAGTGTTGAACTTTTAAAAATATTTCATGTTTTTGAAAGTGTTTGGTGTATTTGAAAAAATGTTTTTGAAGATGGATTGTGAGGAAGCAACTAAGAACGTTCTACCTACTTAAAAGTCTTTTGTTCATTTCTCTCTTCCTTTGACATTGCTATCTCACCATTGATTGGTAAGTAGCCTTATCTTTGGATGTAAAGGGACGGACGTGGGTCATCGTATAGTCATGAATTGCAATGTTGTGAGATATTTTAACATTTTTTTCTTGAGGGACTAAGATCATTTGTAAGGCAATGTTCGTAGCGTCATCGAGGGACTATGGTCTTGTATTTTTGATTATTTTTGCTAAGATGTCTCACATGCATATCATAACTATTTTCTCAAGGCAACAAGTAGAGTTAAACCTCGAGGTGCAAGTGCGCAAGTGTTTTGATTTCATGCATTGTTTTGTCTTGAATTGGGGTTTTCTAGTGTTGATTTTATCTTTCCATACAAACCCTAATTTACTAGCATTTATATTTTGAAAACGGTAAATTGCGGAAAGTAAATATCCTACGCTATTACATCATTAGGGAATGAGGTATACAAATTTACAAATGGGGATTGTAAGAAATTAAATCCTAATTATCTATTACAACCATATTGAATTTGAATAAATGTACAAGAAATGAAATGAATATAATGTACAAGTATATGGATAAGGAATGAATTTTATTTGAATTTTTGTTAAGAAAAATAGTTTTGACCTAATTAATTTAAAAGGAAATAGTTAACTAAAATAAGAAAATTAAAATTGAGTTAGTAAAAGAAATTAATTTATTAAAGAAAATAAGTTGTTTAGGGTTTTGTTTGTGAATTTTTTTTAATTAAATTAAACTAGATAAAGATTATTTAACCAAAAGAAAAATCTATATTCTAAGTTAATTTTAATTAAAAGAAAATAAATTACCTAAGTCTAATTACTAATTTATTTAAGAAAAAAAATAAATTTGTTTAAGAAAATATTTTTGTCTTTTTTAGTTTAGAAAAGAAAATAAAAATGAAAAAAATATAAGTATATTAGGTATATAAATAAATAACTAAAATATTTTTTTGGATTTTTGTTAATAAATTATGATAATAATAATATTAATAATAAATAAAATAAAAATAGAAAAATAAAATAAAATTCAGAAAGGTGTAAAAATGATTTTGGGATGTTTTGTAGCAAAAACAATTTTTATACTAGGTCTAGCTCATTAAGGTTTTTTTTGTTAGTCAGCAAAAGAAATAAAATTAAGAAGTGTAACAGGGTGTGGGATTGTTTATGGATGATGTTTAGAAGATTTTGGAAGCAAAAGTCCAAGGAACACACCAGTGGATTGAGAGATTGGGTTTAGAAATCAGAAATGGCAAGTTTTTGCGCTTCTGTTGCAATTTCTGGTTTTGGGGAGTTTAAGGGAGTTTGAGGGTTTGTAAAATCGTGTCCTGAGTTGCATAAGAGTGTCTTAACATATAGGAAAAGGTTTGAAGACTTGTAGAAGTCATAAGTACAAACTCGCATGCTTGTGGATTTTGACTTGTTTTTGAAGCAACATGAACAAACATGGTTTCAAGGCAAAGTAGGGTGGTTGAGCACTTTAAACATACTTCTTCTAAGCTTATAGACTTAGTGTGTGCAGAAGGAACAACTACAAAGCTCAAGGAGAGTGAACTTTGTGATTAAAGCCACTTTTCTAAAATGGAAGTATAAGCTTTCTTCCATTAATGGAAATTTGGTTTGGATAATGCTTGAATCAATTGGATAATGTCTCAAACAGTTGTGTAAACCATTAATTATGGAGTGAAACAAAAGTTTAAGGCCTGCAAAGCAAAGATTATGCAGCATGGGCTTGAGATTTGAGTTCTTGCACATCACAAAATGACATATAATTCTAGAATGAAAATTCAATTTGGAACTGGGTGAAAAGTTGCCATGAAGTTAGGTGAAAAATATGCCTAACTAGGGCAAAATTTCACTAAGTGTTTTTAGTTTCATGGACATGTCTTCATGAATTAATAACTTGAGATCCAAGCATTTATAGAAAAAGTCCTGCCCTAAAATGTTTTAGATCTCATTGAGATCTACAAATTTCATGTTGGAAGTTTCCTTTGGATCATCTTGCATCATGGTGAAAATTTGGCATAAAGTTATGAAAAAGTAAATTCTCCAACACTTAGAAAAATTTCTAAGTCTTGGAAATTTTGACTTTTCAAAATGAAATTTGACTTTTTGATTTCTTGATGAATAAACTTCATATTTTAACATGTCTTAATGAAATATGATTTTTGAAACTTGATTTTGATCAAAAAGTCAAAGTTTGACTTTTCAATATATCAGTTGACTTTTTCATCAGTTGACCAAATTTCCACCATCAACCAATTGATCATGAGAAATGTTTTGAACGGTGCCATTAGGTCAAAATGATGCATTTGAATCCTTGATATCATGTCTCAAACCAATAAGTCATGTATTTGGTCAAAAGTAAAAAAATTGAGCCTGCTCAGTCAAAACCCTAATTTTGACCATTTTGCCCTTTTGGTGATCTGATCAACTTTGTTGAGGAATTGTGATTCAAACTTGACTAATTGACATATAGGAGTTCAAAATGTTGATATGGATCAAAAATTATGGAATTTGACTCTAAATTGACCATAATTGACTTTTTGCGCAATATAGTTGATTTTAGGTCAACTGGTCAATTGATTGAGCAAAAATATGATCCAAAGCTTGAAACTTGACATAAGAAATCTTGAGAGTCCAAAATGATCCATGGAAGTCATATGGGGCATTAAAAGTCCATTTGTCCTTGTGCAAACTCAAACCTAAGTTGAGTCATCAGTATTGAGGAGGTGTCTTTGAGCTTATCAAACCTTGTGCGGTCTTGAATTGATAGAGATCTTATGAGAGAATTATTGAGAAAATGAGAGAGAAAATTTTGGGATACAACAGTTGCCCTTGTTCAATATTCTTGAACCTAGAGAGTTAGATTGACGGATCCGCCTTTCGTGACTTAAAGGTGAAAGATGATTAAACACTAAAGTGCTCAGAAATTTGCACTCGATGATGTATTGATTTGGGAATGAGCTTATAGACGCCATTTGGGGAGATTATGGCAGAAACTGGAGGAAACATTAGCATGAATCTTTGGTCGATTCATACTGAAACTAGATGTCTTGTATGTCCTTAACTGGGAGAATTAATTCTGGTCCAGAAGAGGTCTTTTGATTGATGATTTTTTTTCTGCAAGGAAAAGGGGTTAGCTGTATGAGAATGTATGCATGGTGTAATTATGTTCTCAAAAATAAATGAGATTATGTTGTATGTATATATTATGTATGTTATATGACGTATAAATGCGACATGTTTTCGAAGCGTATCCTTGACAGATATTGGGGAGTTTTGAGAAGTTAAATCTCGGATTGCTGTTGGGAATGAAGAGTATGTGTATCTTCAGAAGAATGCTTCCGTTGGGGATTCCTGCTTGGTTGAGAAGAAACTCTGCTATGCTTCCGTTGGGGATTCCTGCTTGGTTGAGAAGAAACTCCGCTAAGGAATATTGACTTTGCTTGAGAAGACTCCGTAGAGAGTGTTGATTTGTGCTTGGGGAACATAATTCAGGAGTTTTGGTTGT